ATTTTCATGGTCAAAGAAATGTTAAAATCTGCTCCACAAATTTTGACATATCAAATCAATGACGTGAAATACAAAGACCCATTATTACCTGAATGCCATAATAATAAAGCAGTCAATTCCCTTAAAACAGTTTGAATGTTTCTAATAAGTTGCCAGTGTTTGCCACGCGGGCACTTCGACCTTTGCGGTTAATTCACGTTTTAATAGCTGGTCCTGTAGCAAATAAGAATCGCAACTTAATCAAACGCTAGACAAGCATTTTTCTTGTCAAAAGCTGAATTCAAAATTTGCAAAAAAGTGTAGAGTTGGGCAAATGATAGACCAATAGGTGGTTTGCTGTCGCTATTGGTTGTGTATTTCTAGTAAAAACCCTCCTAAGATTCTGTTGTCGAAAACAGTTCCCCGCTTTGGAACCACATTTACTTTAGGTTCATGTTGGTCGAGTTTTACATTGGCAGAATGAAGTTTACGCGCGAATGAGCAGTTTTTACACCATAAACTTTCAATCGTAAACAAAATGTTTGCCAAGAAACTCAAGTAAGCGGTTTTGATTCCTAGAGATGTTCTGCCACTAAAATTTAAAATATTTGCACAGCGTTTTAGGAGTGCCTTAAAGCACCATTTCAGAGCAGACTTAAATCGTGGCTTGTTTCGAAGACCATGACTCTATTCATGGGAAGTTGAGTTAAATTGAAGTTACTGTCAAGTCACTCACTTCTTCACAAAGAGCCTTAGGGTTGTTCAAAGCCCGAATGCACTGCCTCAGAGGGTAGGCAATCTTTGAGTGGGTCACAGCCAAATGCGTCTCAAGACTGCGTCCATACACGGGCAGAGGGCACTGATCATCTGGGAGGGCAGCATTAGAGACATGAATAAGTGGCTGCAACTCACATCAACAATAAAAGTGCTAATTTCGTTTCAAAAGCAAACGATAAAAGTACCCAGTTCGGTTCGCAGGAGAGGTGCCAAGTCCTCCAAAATGGCAGCGCAGGTGCGATGGTAGGCAGCCGAAATCTCCACCATCTCCACAAGGGCCTGCGAACATTCCAGTGTGGAGACCGTCTCAAAATTAAAGAGTTCGCGCAAAGCCTTCTCCTAGAGGGGAAGAAGAATGAGAAGTTGGATTTTCAGGCAGGTTTATTTGGCGCTGCCATGGATATCAACGCCTGTGTATTCAAAATACGAGTTAAAAAGTATACTGTGAAGCCCATTTTTATCGACAAAAGTGCATTTTTGTCACAATTCTGATATGACTTTTTAAGGAAATTTGCCTTCTGGCTAAGGGCATCTATTGGCTTAAGTAATAGAATCCCACCTTAAGGAGTTGCGATTCAGCTTCTAGGTCCTCTTTAATCGCGTTCAGCTGAGTTGCTTTGGTTGTTCTAACGAAACCGCCATCGCCATTCGGGTTGACTATTGTAAGCCCTCCTGGAGACACGGTTTCTAAAAGCAGTAACGCTAGCGCTTCTAATTGAGCAAATGGATAATGGATTTGCGAGACAACTGTTTAAAAAGTCCTAATGTAAGGAAAGATAATCGATGCATAAGTATTTTAGTTCAACTGCAACGAAACGTAAAAACTTGCCCTTAGATGAAGTGGAGATCGGCGAAGACTTGTGACTGCTTTGAGAAATTGGTATCGGTGCGCTTCTAAGAAGGCCACGTCCTGATTGGTTATTTACAGAGGAATGCCCGTCCTTTCGGCTCGAAGAAGTTACCGGGGACGACAAATGCTCCGTTGGCAGAGGCTGAAATTATGCACAATAAAGGAGAGTAAAACGTTATCCGTGACTAGATGCCTTCAAGTCTCCAATGTAACGCATTAATCTAGTAGATTTCGGTTAGGATAACATCCACCACAAGCCATACCCGGCTTCCCTCAGAGCCGTCTGGTGATTGAGTCTCATCATTTGCATTGCCTTGGGAACTGGCTGATGAGGTAGTAGCACGTGCTGCTCGTTCGCTGACCGAACGCAACTCCCCACCAGCGCGCCACGCCTGCCGTCTAGCTCGTGCCATCTCGCTGTTCGGGCCAGTTGCATCTGCAATCCTCTTCATTGGGCCAATCACGCTCTCGTGTACACGAGCTCCCCAATTCAAGCGAGCCTGAGCCAGTTGACTCGAGGCCTGGCCGCATCCAAATAGAAGGTGGCTAAAGAGGTGTGTTTCAAAGGTGAATTAAAAGCAAAGAACCTCACACGTCCACTAAAAAACATTTCATTGGATTTTGTTACACCTACTGATAAATAATCAGTACCGCTTATTTTATAACGAAATATAACGGGGTGCAATTCGCCAACTTCTGCTAGCTAGATGTACGACATCAGAAAATACTGTCCATGGGATGAATTTCCGCACCAAAGGCTTTTGCTGACGTATTGCTATTCCTCTTCAACACCAAACATGATCAACGCCAATCTACTAAATCTCCACAAAACTTATACTGCTCACATTCTCTTGCACCCTCATTATACCTCGAAATAGATATTCACGCAAATAAGACAGATGACATTTTCTGTCAAATGGCTGGATTGCCAATCGGCTGTCAGGATTTAAATATGCTTTGTCCCACAAAAAATAAATAAAATTAAATGCTGTAATTTAATTACACTCCTATTTCCTCTCATAGTAGCACAAATTTTAGGATATATGACGTCCTACCAATGGATTTTAGCACTCCGGTCGTCTGACCTCCTTTTTCATTCTTTTCCACAGCCAATACTGCGTAGAAGCAAGAGAAAAAAGAAGTCAGCGGTAGCTGCAGTGATTGTGGACACAGCAATCCAAAAAGTAATGCCACATCAGTGCAGTTTGCCTTCCACCGACCAAAGGTCTCGTGGGATACTTCCACAGCCTCAGGTTTCACCTTCTTTTAAACCGTTTTGGAAAAGCACCAAGAGCCACTCTCAATGCAAACTGCAAAATCCAAAGCCCTCTGCACTTGTCCTGGATTAAATGCTCGACTATCGGATGCACTTTTCGTGCCAAAGCACAGATTTATCTACTCCATACTCAGAGGGAGTTAACACGGTGCGAGACCCTACCGGTCCCATCTAAATTGTGTTCACCGAGTGATTAGTTGATTTCCCATGTGGCGATGTGTTTGCCCAACAACGAAAACCGAAATGAATAAAGAGGATGAGGTTGAGCCACCACCAACCACCCCTCGTATTTGGGGTGGTTATCTTCACACATCCGTCTTGCTCAACCAGCTCCGAAGTTTTTCTTAACCACTTTAGAGCTGCGTATGGCAATTCCATCAGACGAATGTTGTCAACACCTAAGAGCTGTCTAAAAGGCTGGAGGATGAAGTGAGTTGTTTTGGCAGAGTGCTTCTCCATCACACACCAAGAGGTTGGGAAACATTCTAGGCCACCCGACGTCTTTGTCGCAATCTAAGCGAAAAAGTGAGAAAGATGAAGATGGTGGACACGAATCACATGGTTCGGCGGCATTCGCTTAGTTTTGACAAGTTCACCATCTTCGTTGGTGTGTTGCATAAAGTTGAGCTCTCTGTTGGTTGAGGAATTTTCAACACACGTCCGACAACTTTCCTCATTCAAATGCGGTTCATAATTCGTCTGTACTTAAAGCTTCCTCGTCCAGCGGCAGTGCATTTCAACTTTTCCTGTCAGTTGTATTCTTGTACCACAAAATCTGCAAATTTGATGTAAAACCACCTCCTCCAGCCTTGAAACAGATTCAACAAGGACTTGCATGAGCAAATGGGCGCATCATTGGCCCCACAGGGGAATCACAATATCACTACGATCTGCATCTCTCCATTCTCCGTGGTTGTCTACAAACATCGCAAAACAAAGTCTCCTTCTTTCCTCCACCAAATCGGCATTCATCCAACTTGGGACGACTTTCGTGAGTGCGCAAATGAGAGGCATCCACTGAGTGGAAAGGGTGAAAAGAAGAAGACTACCACCAAAGTCTTCCTCAATGCATTCTTTCGACCATTTCTCCTCCTCCCATTTCACCAATCTGACATTTACACACCCAACGCGGTATACGCGGAGCACTAAAGTCGGAGCATAAAAAAGCACAGCACAGCAACACGCACAGTCAATGGAGTGGCAGCAGTAAATGGCGCGAAGGACGAGTGCTAATTGCCACAGCTTTATTGCACCGTTAGGAGATGTGTATGAGAGCGATGATGAAGGGGAGAAGAAACGATCTCCCTCCACATCGGTTGTTGTTGTTTTTGTTGTTGTAGAGGCAGTATGGCGAAGGGAAAATGGACGCTTTTCCCTTCTGCTGGCTCATTGGGTGAGGGCAAATGGGGCTCACTCCACCAATCGTGAAGTTCACTCAAAGGGGTGACACAACAATGCTTTACGGGGTTTTCATAGGGGAGGACTGTTGTTGCTGAGTGCTTACGCAGGGTTAAAGGTAATCGTATGCTCCAGGGTTGATTGAAAGCGGTCCGTGTTTCTTCCATAAATGAAGCTGCAGTTATTTCACATAAAGATTGTAAATGAGAAACGAGTTTGATTTTCGGACCTCCGTCTCGATGCTGAGGAGGGAGGCAACACCAGAGTGTTCATGTGGCAGGAAGTGGGTGACATCGATGGGCATGTGGTTGGCTGATTTAATAAAAAAAATCTGCCAAGGGGAGGAGAGTACGCACTTCCTTAAGGGGGGGGGAGAGACATGAGTGTAGAACTTGTTGGCTCCTCACCGCAAAGACCCTTCCACTGTCCTAGTGTAGTAGGAATTTCATCGCAGAGGGCTCTGAATTGCCTTAAGCTTACTTTGACGTCCCCCCCCCCCACGGTGGACGTGACTGTTGGTGGAGGTGGTATCCACGTTCACAATCAGGTCAGGAGTTTGGATGTTGATTTCCAAAGACCATTCGCCCACTTGAAGGAATTTGACATGTTTTCTCAAGAGGGAAAACGGTCAGCCTCCTAAAGTAAATTCCTCAAAGGTGTTGTGGCCCATTAAAACAACCCAATAAAAGGAGGAGGGGATTAAAACGGAAATGGATGGGAGGAAGGAATCCCTCCCTCCGCTTCATCAAAGGCAATACAAATTGGTATTGCCTTTGAAAGTCCAAACTAATGCACAGACCAAACAGTAGCCATACAACTTGAAAGCACAGGAAGTAGTTAAGCCAAAGTGAAATGCCTTTCCAGGCTTTGGCGTATTTTGAGGTTCCACTTTTATGGCCTAATTCGGCACCAAAAAAATACGCAATTGGCTGAATTGAAAGTGGCATGAAGTGAGATTGATGCAAGTCAGTCATGATGCACCCAACAAATGCTGTTTGTTGGATTGGAAGAAACACTTGAGTGTCGATAGACTACACCAGCAACTCATATCGCGTTGCTTGCCTAGTGGAAGCCTCAAATCAACATTCATCCGCACTTGATCGCTTTAACTCCACGGAGACCGAAGCGGAGAGGAAGGAACTTGGCGTGAACCCGAAACCGCCTACACGACCTCTTTCAACTTACCACTGGAAGACAACTGCCTCGTTGATCACTTCACCACACACCAACTGAACGTTTGCACGGAAAGGACCAGAAACTCAACTAACCTTCACAACTCGTCGGAGTAAATTAGCTTTGGTAGAGCCATTCTCACCTGATCGTAGAGGTGAGAATTTGCGTCGGACTGTTTCGGTTGGTAACAGGTCTCCACACTCATCCCCTTCCTTCGACAGTCAAAATTACTCCCCTCCCATTCTTCCATTAGTACTTTGGGCCAAAAAAAGTGCATTTTCAGACAAACTATCACCAGTCTCAATTGGAACAGACGAGTTTCCATTAGGCTATAGTCCATTAGGCCAAACCAATCAGTAGATGTTAGGCAGCAAGTCACTGGTTAGGGAATGGCTCTGTTGAAGTGACTTTGACATGTAGTCGAGTAGTCACTCGCAATCGACGACTACTTTATTGCATTTTAATGCAAATTAACCGCTTCATCCACCCACCACGCGCCATCCTCGCAAAGACGAGGCTCTGGGAGGTGGTCGGCGAAGACGGCAATCGGAGGAGGGAAATTAGCATGTCTTAACTGCAATTCTCACACAACCACATGAGGATTGTCGTGACATACAGAGGCAGTTGGCAGGGCACATCTCCGTCCATGCGAGGATTGGGAGATTAACTTTTCCACCAGTCAAACCACCTGCCTTCACAATTCAAGTGGCACCACATTTCTTCCAACCCGATTGTAGAGTGTGCTGGATGTGTTGGCCAGTAGTTAGGTTTTCGAAACAGTACGAAGGTGTTTGCACATTGAAACAGCCAAAAAAGTTGTAATGCAAGAGTAGCCTGAATGTTGACATTTCAGTGTTTTGGGCTTGACAACACTCACTCCAACTCGTGAAATGGGAAGGGAAGGAGGTGCGATTTGTTGTCACCTTGCAAGAGAGGCCTTTGCAGAGGGTGATGCAAGCCTATGGATGGGTCAAGGAGCCGAAAATTGGACAGCCGAAATTAACGGAGGCAGGATTTGACACAGCACGTTAAAATTTCCCATAAAACACACACACGCAGTTAAGTAGTGGAAAAAAACGTGGATTTTGTTAGGGAGGTGGAGGGACTCACTGCCATAGAGGGGTCGTTTTGTTAAACTCACCTCAACGTGGGTTGAATGTTGGCCAAACGCTCGGAGGCCTCGAGACAGGTTCGGGCGAGGACTGTTTCCGGTATCTTCTTGGTTCTCTAGTAACAAAACGTTGGAAAATCACAATAGTGGTAGTAGCTAAAGAAGTTACCCATGCAAAGTTACAGAAAAATTCAAATTGTGGAGTAAAAAGAGTTGTCTTGTTAAAACGAAAGTTCGCCTTTCTCTGTGCTTTTGCATGCTTCTGTGTGATGAGTAAAGGGGGAGGCCTTTACGACGGAATGACATTTTTTTCCTCATCTGATCGGATCAGTAAGTGAGCATCAACTTGTTCCCAGGTAAGCTTTCAAGTCCACCAAATCAGGGATCAGGGACAAGCGTGTTGGCACCCTCCGACTCCACAAAATCCGCAGCGAATGTCAAACGAATCGTCCTCCACACAGGAACAAATGAAGTAGTCACAAAGGAGTGCATGCAGGCAGACGTAGGCGAGGAGACGAGCCGATTATTTAGGAAAGTGGGTGGATAATTTGAAATATACGTTATAATGACAAACAAGTCCAAAGCGATGGAAGACACACCTCGAACTTGGTCGACATGGAACACACGCTTCACCTTACAGCACTGAACCAAAAAAGTGGGTGCAACTGCAAAAAAATCTGGAGGTTATTTTAATTGCGCAAGATGCATGGCCACATGTAATGGTTATCCAGGTATTCAGAAGGAAGGGGGGAGGAAAAAGTAGTTTTATTCTTAAGACGTGCATGGATTGTGGGACGCTGAAATAAAGTCAGTAGCTACAGTTGCTGATGTTGGGTGTTAAAGTAGGAAAAAAATGCAAACGCAAAGACAACCAGTTGGACCGAAAATGGTATTCATCTTCCAAAGGTACTGCTTTCCAAAGAGTCTTTAATAAAACACCCCCTAATGTGAGAAGAGTAAGTCGGAAAAAAAGAAACAAATTAATGTAAATACAGATAAAGGCGTTGAAAGGTTACAATTCTGCATGCTATTTTGAGCTGGCAATGCCTCCAGACAAAGTGCTAGCAGCCAAAAGGGTGTGGAGTAAAGTGGATTTACCGTTTCATTGCAAAGGACTTGATGGTTTACCGCCCTGTCGTGGAGTAAATGAATCCCAAACATTGGAGCATCACGCATGCTAAGCCGATGAAGTAAAAGCTGGTATATGCTGCAAAAAAGGACACTTTTTGCTCTTTTGACAGAAAAAAAAATGCCGGTGTCTGACATTCTCCCTCTCTCCTTGATCCCACCAGTCGCCTTCTGCTAAATCACTTATCCCCGTGCAGTGCTACAACACTCCCTGCTGCCTCATTTTGGCAGGAGTGACCCACTTTCCGGCATTCAGAGTACAAGACCTCTTCGCGATTCCAGCGGACGTTGTTTTACAGCCCATTAAATTATCCGAATTGCCCATTCACTGACACTGTTTAGCGCGTTGACAAGGGTAGCACTCACTGCAAACCAAGCCACCGTTACTGACCTTTCACCAGTACAGGTAGCAACAAAAGTCGTCTTTCCTTTCGCTCACTTGAAAAAGGAAAGTTTGCTCCCCGCGAAACAAGAAGGCGTGTTGGAAAGGGACCCAGTGATTCAGCCTTGTCATCCAGGCACGTGTACCTGTCAAAAGGGTATTGACTCATTCGGCCGACCAATCACAACCGCGATCGCGTTTGCGATTGCCTGCAGTGACCCAAAATGGCAAGAAACAGCAGCAATCTTGGGAAGAAGTAGAATCCACCCTCTTATGTGCCTCAACTTGTCCAAACCTGTCTAACCAATGGGATGGACGGAGTGGAGAGTTGGTGGCAAATCCAGCGAAACACGAGCTCCACCCACTTCACAGACGGCTGAGGAGATGAGAGAGCACATTCCTCTGCCTTTATGTAAATTGCCTCAAAGGGCTAGTTTTGTGCTTAAATTTAAAAATTGGCATTAATTAACCAATCGTGGTGTAGACATAAACATGTTGGCCACAAAAGTCCATGTGAGTAGTGCAAAGAAGGAGAAAAGACCAAAGACGCCACTTTGATTTGCTTCAGGTGGAGTTCACTTCAAGTCCACCACACTCGATAGTTTTTTTTTTTTCTATCAAACCTGAGATACACCAAAATGACAACAAAACAGAGGACAGGAGTGTGACAATACGTCAATGCTGGTACAGTAAACAGTGATAGAGACGCTTTCAAAATAGGCGTAAACTAATCCACTCAACAGGACCGATTTGTTGATTGCATTCACCTAAGCACTTGTAAACCAACATTTGACGGTAGATTGATGCAAAAATTCCCATTTTATTTGCATTTTTAAAATTAATTTTGCATCTGTGAGGAAAGGAAAAACACGAGCAGAGAGATGGTGAAGTGAGAAAAAAAGACACAAGGCAAAGCATTGTCAATCAAAGTTGTTTTATTTAATCGACGAGGAGGAAAGAGGAGGAGGAGGAACAAAACGCGACTGATTATGTGATTTGCACACCTCCAAGCAATTCAGTAAATCTGTCATTCCTTTCTATTAGTTTCACCAAATCAAACCACTGTCAGAGGAGTCAACTTAAAACCTTTTCTACGCCCCAGGTTTGCACGAATATTAACACAGAAAGGAGCACAACTGCTGGGTGGCAAGGCCTCTCTTCTAGTCCCTCCTGATGCTAATGACATCGGTAGAAGCTCCCAAGTTGGATGGTACCTGAAAACACAGCACTACAGGAGGATCTTTAGCGAGCAAACCTTTACTGAGGATGGGAGAAGTCTTCGCCACATCACCAAGCATCAAGTGAACAGTCAACCTTTGCACAGAAAGCGAGGCTTAGAAGAAAATTATTATTAAAAATTTAACGATTTGAAATGAAAGAGGAGCCGCTAATAGTCGTCCGCTTTGCAAAAAAAGAGGTGCTCTCCTATCCACCTTCTGAAGTCATCCATCACCTATTGCGGGTGTTGTCGTGCACGGATGTGAGGAGCTGTGGAAGCATTTCACTGACCGTCCAAGCATTATACCGCTACCCACCCCCATGCTCACAATCCGTGTCTCTGCCTTGAAAATTCCTCGTGACATTCGTGGTACAATCATCAAAACAACTCCGTCCATCCCCTCACCAGTGGAAAGGCAAGCCATTGACCAACAACAGTGCCAACTTTCACCAAGGTGGGAGAGCAGAACCTGCACTGATTAATTGTCTCTTGCCCAGGTTAGAGAGGAAGAGAGAGAGAGAGAGAGAGAGAGAAAGAGGAAAGCATCAAAGAAGCGCCGACTGCCTGTTCAACCCACCCCACCTACTCACCCTCTCCCGGCTGTGGGATTGAATGCCAGCTGAGTCAACCTGCCACCATCCCCACTTCACACAGGTAAAAAGGCCTAATTTTCCTTTAAACTACATTTAAGTAAAAAGTTGAAAACAAAAAAAAAAATGAAACGCACATTAACGAATCAAATTAATTTGCCTCCATTTGGCGCAAAAGTGAAGTGAAAGTGCAAATAATGAGTCGGATGATCGGCTTCAGGAGCCATTTATCTAAGCACTGGAATGTGCGTACCGTGGAGGTTTTGGTCTGGCCTACAACTTGTAACACGTTCGACTGCTTGCTGTTGCAACACCACGTAAAAGGCGCAACTTTTTTCCACCCTTCAGATATGTGAATAAATTCCCCCAAAGCATTAGTAACTATCGTCATGCCTGACTGTGTGGATGGAGGAGGAGGAGGAGGAGGCGGTTTGCGTAAAACAACTGTTTTTTGTTTGTGTGCTGAAGTTCAAAATGATGGTGTTGGATGATTTGACGAGTTCTTGGTCGCGAAGGCGTAATCTCGCCTCTAGCAGGAGGAGGTCAAAGCTTGGAATTATGTCGCCAACAGGATGGCCTCACACTGCGGCATTCCAACTCGAAGAGGAGGGAAGCACTGTTGAACAAAAAGCACACACATCTAACTTTGTCCCCCAACCTGGCCGGGAGGGCGACTGAATCTTCACAGGGGAGGGGAAAATGTTGGCAACACAATGGGACTGAAAAAAGGTCGTCAAAACGCCTTCCCTTCTATGCCTCGTGTATCCTTCAAAGT